ATTCTTGCTGTTTATTAACCCAGGTTATTCGCACTACTACAGAAACTACAGCGACCAAGGTTAGACTTCCTTTTTTTTCTTTATCATTTTGCTACGCATTTCGCTTAAAAATAATCTTCATGCATTAAGGAAGAGACAGAAAATGAAACTGGAATCGCATGCGATGTTCTATTTTCCATCTATTAGTTATTCTAAAAGATCAAAAGTTTAAAAGGGATCAACTGTAGGTTATTGTTCCTGTTTTAGTTCATCATTTTTTATCTGGACAGTTTTTCTAATTCTACTGAGACGCAACTTCGCATAGATTTCATGGCCTTTGTGTATGTTTTGTGCTTTTTATTACAACATCGACTGAGATGCCTAGTTTAGTGTATACTTGACTATTGTGCAAAGTAACAATGAAGTTTGTTTGCCCGCTACGTTGATGGATTGTCATTCACGTTTTGATCGATATGCATACATTTTTAGTATAAACAAACTGTACAGTCGTGACTTTTAACAATTCAACTATGCAGGCAATTTAGATGTGTTTTAAAAAAGTGCACTTTTTCTCTCTGCTGAATGCTTGGATGCATAATTAATCTAATCTGTCTCTTTGTCCTGCCGCAAATCGAATTTTCTCTCCGCAAACTGTTTTCTTTCTTGGGATTTTTGTGTATTAAAAGTGCGGTTTCTTATCTTTCCTCTTTGCTTTTCTTAGCTCATGGAATAAAATGTTTTTCACTACAAATTTTTGCGCAGCTGAGTTTCCGCATAATGTGTGTGCTTTAGTTAGGAACATCGTTTTATCTGAAATGATCTGCTTGGCGAAATATTACTGTCGAAAATTAGGCAGAACCACTGAACAGATCGAGGATACTGCCGCAGGTCTCTTCTTAAAGTGACGTGAGATTAGGCAGATAGTCGGATTTTCAGTCAGTTGCTACGCCGCAGAGTTACGTGGCTCTTATGATATCCTAATAAGTTTAAAGAAAGGGGAAAAAATAGAGTTTTTCCTTTAAATAATAAAATATTTGTATTTGAAAAAAATCAATCTTCTCTGTGCTGGTTTTAGAGTATAATCAAACCAGCTATGGATAAATTACAAACTGAGAACTAAGAAAAAACATGGCTGATGCTTTGCTATCACAAGTTGCAGCTGCGATATGAACTACATTTGCGTATTTTCCATGCTGCTTTTGAATTATGGAGCCATACATGACTCTGCCTCTATTAGCGATGGGAGGTTTTAATGAAAATGTCGTTTTGTTTAGATTACCCAAAATAGATTGCGTATCTGTTTTCCCTACCGCAGGTTGGCCTTCTCTTTGAAAGGTCATGATCTGTTGTCAGCGTATTTAAACTATACACGTAGCTCGCTGATGTGGTTAAGTCCTGAGTTTATTTTGTCAACATTCAGTGACAACGCATCTCTTATTGCATTGGCGAAAACAAAACAATACAAAACGAAATAGGAGCCTGGTTTACAGTAAGTTCACGTCTTCCCCCTAAGTTTTTAACCTTTTGCCTTTTCACAAATACAAACCAAACCAAATCGTTTGTTATCATATCAAATTTATTTTAATATAAGTGTTTTGCTTGAGGTTTTTCTTTATTCCAGATTTTTCTCTAAGAAAGCTTTAAATGCCGCCCCTCCTAATCGGATAATTGATCTAACAGTCGAATATTTCAATATGAATTTCTCACGTCCTCAAATTTAAGTTCAATGACAGCCACGTAACATTGGCCTTCTCGTGTATTTTTTTAGCCTTACGCTAGTTTTTATTTCTCGAAAGACCAATATTCATTCCTGTTTAATTTGTATTTCAAACAACAGAAAATCTTAATATGTTTGTTTATGTATTGTGAATTATAATCTTCCGGTTGTTCTTTGATTACGTTGACACGTAAAAACCAAGCAATTTTTTGACTGGTTCATCTGATTGCAACTTACCAATTAAGACTTGTAGCATGTTGCCAATGGAAAATTCTGGGTTGTTAAAATGGTACCATTTCTCCCACGCTTGGTTTTTAATGAATTTTCTTGATGTAAGAATTTTCCTATTTTGCTTTGACGTTTATAATTTAGTAGGCGGAGCAGAGGAAAGCATAGGTTACACGGTTAGATTCCGGTCAGGACAGGTTTAAACTGCACTTGAAACGGATCTCTTTTCTGTTTTAAGCGGAAGCTCTTTGCGAAAATTTTTTACCTTAAAAATGCACAAATTTAGTTAACTGAAAAATTTTTCGTTTATTCTAAACTTTGTTTTCTTTCAAATGCGATTATCTTACGACGAGAACGTGTGACTCAAGAAAGCGTCGAACCCTTGTGAAACTCATGTTTTATTTAGGTTAAGGGTTCGAGATAGCCAGCCTTTTACTATATTCAGGCTTCTCTCAGTTGTAACCTCGCAAACTACTGTTACTGGATGGAATGACACCAGATCTATGGCGAGTTATGATATCTGGCGACTGAGTACGATGGGCAGAATTTATTATCCAGAATTTTGTGAAAGTCGGTACAATTGATGGTCATGCATAAGAAATGACCAAAATGCAACTATGAAACAGGACTACCAATACGGAAAAAGAAAGACAGAAAAAACTGGAATCTTGGCAAATTGTAATGTGTATAGATTCTTTTAGGGGTTTCTAATGGCCCAATCTTGGAAATGTACTAAGGAAACTGCACCTCTACGTTATAATCATCGTTCTTTTTCTTGGCTCTCGAAACCCAGTCGAGTCATAGTTTGTGCTACTCATGCGTGAATAACGCGACTTCTACTATTTGATCTCCCCCCCCCACCCCCTTAAGGTGGGAGGAGGATCATAAGTTTCACGACAAGGAAATAACCGTTTTTCTCTTTAAAGAGCTCTGGCTGTGGCAAAAGCCTCTTCAGTTTTGTGCTCTTAGAAAAAACTAGAGATAAGTTGTTTTGACTTTCTAGAACGCAGCACATATGTCATCGCTGTTTAAGCATTCAGCTAATTGTCGTCAGCGTTGTTTAAGGGCTTAAGTCTCTAGGGAGTTTTTGTAATGGCATGATTTTGGTGAGATGAGTATTCCTGGGGTGAAATTCGAATACGTAGCTCCTCTTTTCGGTAAGATAAAACAAGGAAATAGAAAACAATCTGAACTGTATCGCAGATGGTTTTTCTTTTCTAGAATTTTTTTTTTTAATTGTATGAATTAGGTAAGTGGGATTAATTTGACAATCTGACCCCCCTGAGGGTTGAGAAAGAAATTGACTATTTGGTTGATTAAATAAGGAAAAGAGATTTCGAAAAACTCTTCCTTTGTAGCAACCCTGGCCCCTTCACTATAATCTTAATCATTTTGTGGGGTTTGATCGTTTTAAACTCGTGATGTCGCGTGTGTTATACACTAAAACCTAGAATAAAGATTAAATATTATTTTCCGTTCTAGTATAAATCACTAAAAATTGATACCCTTTCTCAGCATGATACTTTATGTTCCTCTACTTTGGGTTAGATTTTCAATTCATACATATTTAAGTAAGAATAGCAACGTATGACTTTGAAAATACAAAGTAATCAAAGCTGGCTGTGATTAAAATTCTAGTTGATCACATTCACTCTGTTCTTACCATGACTATCTGAGTTGAGTTACTTGTCAAGAGTAACCAACTTAAGAAAAATTAATTTCGGCAGAAACTGGATTTTTATTCATTTTTTTTTCTCGAATTTTATTTTATAACCTTGAGGAAAAGATTGGTGTATTTTATCTTAGTGGCCCTCATCGAGTGCCGTCTTAAAAAATCTAAACCAATTCGAGCAGTTGGATCAGTGTTTTGACTATCACAGCTCACACAGCGAAATAAGGAATTCTTGAGGCAGCTAACTCATACTCGCATTTCAGATCTTCTGCCTGATTCTCCATGTATTTTAGTGAATAAATTTTCAGACATATGAGAAGTTTTGTGATATTTTGTGAGTCAGCTGCAAAAATGCAAACCGGCCGTCTGTTTTCTTTGGTCGCTTTCAAAATCCAGTAATGACACAAAGATAAATTTAGAAATTAACCAAATTTCAATTTCCTCTTTTCATTTGTACCGACCGGTGGGCGTATGACATAAACTGGATAACCATAAGAAACGTTTTTTTTTACTTAATGGCGATCAGCTGTACCACAATTTCTGAAATACCTTCTAGAATCGTCCGGGAACCACCCGCCATTGACGTTGCAATTATCAAGTCTTTTTAAGTTGACATTGAGTGAAAAACTGTCTCGGAATGTTTATTTTTCCAATCGATTGCTTTACTTGTTAAAAATTTCTTCTCTCGCGCACACTGCTCCTTAATTAAGCTTATAAAATTAAATTCTTTTTTTTTTTTTCGTTTTGCAACAGCAGCCTTTTCTGTTGAGGTTTTTTGAGCGAATTGTGTGAGTTATGCTTTGTGGCTCCCTAGTTCTTTGTGTTGTGTGTATTGTATCAGTTCAAACCATTGTCCATAAAACACAAAATCGTCTGCGGTACGTTGTTCGGCCGAAAACATTTTACTTTGCCTCCATTGGTTATCGAATCTTCAAGTGCAGTAATAACTTAGGGAAAGTTGGTCAAATTACTTTTTAAAACATGTCGAAATGAAAATAGACTTGAGAATATGGCAGCTTTATTCATCCTTTAGGTACTCTTGTCTGTTATTATTAATTTATAGATGCTTTCAAAACAGTCTCAATGTTTAGTCGAACTCTTTGCCGTTGCGGTATGTGGTTGGGTAATATGTTTTGTCGATGTCTTGTTTTTCTTTTGTCGTGAAGAAGGATTTTTTCTTCGTTCCAAAATCTGGTTAGGCATGAAAGCTTGGCATTATTCCTTTATTTGCAAATTCTTGCTAATGAGTACAGGTTGTTTCAATCACGTAGGTTCTTTGGAAGTCGAAACGAAGGCAGATGTTTTTAGCAAATCGGTCAGCGGAATTTACTTTCCAAAGCAAAATACGTGCAATATCGAGATAACACACACTGAAGTTCTAATTTAGTGCGGGGGGCGAGAAAACCACGCAGTCGACAGTATGCAAAAGTTGTCGAACTGCTCGATATCTGGGTTATTTCAATACTGGAATCTCCTTATGTTGCTTTGTATACTATTTCGAAGCGTAATTTTACATTATTGCAGAGCAGTATGAGATATCTCTTGGCAGCAGTGATTTTATTCTCGGTTGTTAAGGAATATGGGCCACAGAAGCTTCTTAAAGTCAGTTCCTCATTGCCAAACATAACAGGTTCTTATCTAACACTCAAACACGCAATGCCAATTACTATTTAGCCCACTATGCGATACCTCGAGATTAGAGTCTAACTGCGTTCTCGCCTTTTTGCTGCAGCTAATTGCCGTAAACCTCTTGGGATGGCGAGTGGAACGATAAAGGACGAGCAGATCACAGCACCATCAGCTTATGATAACGACTTCGCAAGATTTGGAGCGCATCGGGCTCGACTTAACCTAACGAGCGATGCGCCAGGCTACAGAGCCGACAGAACACAAAGTGGCGGTTGGATTAAGATAGAGTTAGAAAAGCAAATGGTGATAACTGCAATTGCTACTCAAGGGTACGGCGATCCTAAATATCCTGAATGGACCGAACTCTACATGGTCATGTATTCAAACGGCGGAGATTATCTGTACTTTCAAAACCCTGAAGGTGACTTAAAAGTAAGTTGATAGCGGCGACGAGAACGCTGCTGTTAATCAGATTAACTATCGTTTTGAAATCCATTCTAAACCTTTGTGAAGCTTCAGTGAGATTACTTCCAAAGCGAGGTACAGCGTCATGTTTTCGATATTAGTTAAAAGGGATAATCCAGAAATTAAATACATCGTTACACAAGTTTATTAAGTCATATCAAAGTTGTTGATTCCGGTTTATCAGTGGGTGAGTTACTATTAGTAGATCTGCCTTGCATATTCCTCTGCTCTCAAGACGATGGTGTGAGTTGAGTTAGCGAATTAACAAGGTTACCCCTAAATTTTAAGTCAGTCTGTTACTTGAGGAAGCGATTTAGCCAGAAATTAGCCATGATTTCGCCGATGATGAATTAAAATTAACTCAGTAGAAGTAGAGGGTGCGCGTTAAACGCTTTGCGCTATGAGCTTTAGCACCATTAAAGTTGTCCCATCATATTTAGTGAAATCTTTAAACCGTAAATAAGTGTTGAAAGCTTCAGGATTGAAAACTAGCTCGGTTTTCTTATTGCATTACAAAAGAGGTTCTGCTGCCACCACAACGAATTTAATAATTAATCACTTTTTTTGACAAGAATCGCCTGCCTAAGCCTTCTTTTCTATCCGTTTACTGAATACAACCAAGTAGTAACTTCTGCCAATTTTAATCATTTAATACAAATACTTATTATCATGCGTTTTCTGTAATTATTAAAGAGAAGAATCCGCCCGTTTTTGTGGGCATAATAATGTTTGTAAAAGAGTAACGCTGTGTGTAGAAGTAGACAAATGAATTTTGCATTGTATCGTCTGACTGCGGTCTTGTTACATGTACCTTGATTAAATTTCATATAACTTCGGTCGAAAGAAAATCGCAGATGATGATAAGTGTTATCTAGGAAGAAAGAGGACTCTAAATTCTTTAACATCTGACAAGTTTAGACAAGCGATATTTCACTTAAAAAAGCCGGTATGGGAATTTTTATAAAATGAATAAATTAATAAAGCGGTCTCTTTGCATTGCGCGCACAAATGCAGAGTTTCATTGATATTGATATTAGAAAAAATAAGAAAACATGTATCGTTTGTGTTTTTTACGAGTACCTGCAAAACACGATTATTACGGATTTTTAGGGGGAGTTAACCAGCACGAGCAATGAAATACATGTATGTTTTACAGGTTATCCACCGTTATTCACTGAACAAAAGAAAGTTAACTGGTGTTTAGTCAATTCAACTGTGAGAAACTTGCTGTGAATTTTCATGTATACCTTTTACCCATGAGTTTGGCAGGAGTTGATGATTTCTCATTTGCAAAACAAAAATCGCAGTTTTTTCCAATGTCTGATTAGATACCTAGTTTTATTTCATTACACGTATGCCACCGTCTGGTTGGAGTCAATGCATATTACACCAGGTTTTTTTTATCTATTTGTTCATCTTTGTGGCAAGTACGTGCAGATTACATTTGTTATATATTTGTTGTTGTATTGTCTTACGCAAGCATAGCAAGATTAATTACTTTTTAATAAGAGTTACCTGACAAATGAATGTTGGTTAAAGATATTAACAATGGAACGTGAACTAGAGTTCTTTTTTCTAAAATACAAAAGAAGCGGTCTCTGTTTACAGTGCCTTTGAAGTTTTTCAGAAATTTTCAGCCTTCGTTAGCATACCTGTCTGCTAGTTAAAATATCCCCAGTTCAGTTTTATCCGTGGAAGGTAGAAGACAGCCCTATAAAAATCGGTTTTCTGTGAAACATTGCGATTAGAGAACGTTAATGTATATTTTGAATTTTATTATTCCCTACTTAGATTCTCCCACTTTTCGTTAGTCTGGTTATTTTGAACCTTAGCACACTCTTTACGTTTTCTCGCGTTTCTTACGTTATCTTTCTAGACGTTTACTGGCAACAAGGACAGCAATAGCATTCAACATAACGAGGTTCCATTGCCCACAATTGCAACTTCGATTATGCTCATGGAGTCTGGAGTGCATGAAAACTTTGGAATCAGGATGGAGTTGTTTGGCTGTGAGCCCGGTAGGAGATATGTAATGATTGAAAATGATGCATATGAATGTGTCACCTCACATCTGAGAGTTTGGTCAATTTATGGTCAGGATATGTTAAGCGTTTCCCAAGGTCTACTTTGGAATTAATTTCATTTTGATACAAAGCTTACATAAAAATCATTCTTCAATATTGCACCACCCTTTGTGCCTTTTCAGGTGACTCAAATTCAAGTCCACGTTGCAAAAAACACTTTTATAAGCTTTTAGTGAATTTCTCCCACTCAGCGTTCACCAACATAGGGGACACTAAATTTTTTTACAGGGTGCGCCTTGAATTACGTTTCTACGGTATTTGACAATTAGGCACCAAGCGTCATTTTACAAATTTTAATTTGGTACGAACGATTATGTCATCTTCGTTCTCTCCAATTTTTTTTTTAATAATAAGATTTCTTTCATCGATTCGTTTAGATTGTTTCAAATCATGTAATTTTGACACCATTCCCGCTGACTTTCTCTGCTCGTCCGCTGTTTTCGAAGCAGGGAATAAGAGTATGGTTTGCACGCAACACGTCTTCAGGAAGGCGATCATCACGCAAAACATTTCAAAGCAGCTCTCGTCCTCCTTGGCCTTGGATTTTCCACAGTTGCAAATTATGTTAACCACAACAGTTTCAAATTGTGTCGACTCGGCATTTTATTTATATCACTTAAACTCCTTGTAACAAATGGATCATGGCAAATTAGAAAAAAAAAAAAAACTTAAAAACCGAAAAAAAAAATCGCACATATTCTCAGTTCAAATTTTATTTCCTTCAATTCATGTGACTTCTTTTCGTATCTTTCTTTTATTGCCTCTGTGGAGGATTAAATTTTCTATAGAGAATTCACTTCATATGGTCATTGTATTCGGTGGTGTCTTTGCAATTACATTTTCTTATGTCAACTGAGGACTTTTTATATCAGAAAGTCTCCTACCCTACTTATTACACGTCCTTATTGTTATCATTGGTTGGAGTTTGCGAGCGGATTGACCCATCTTGGCCAAAGAATCCGCTTGGGTTACATCGAACCTGCCTCAAACGATAAAAGAAGGCATTCTGTTTTTGTTTTTATCTAACGATATCCTGATAAAAAACCGTGAAGCGGCTTATACAGCAGGTCGCTTGCCGGTGAGATCAATATAATACTCTTTATATCTTTTGTTGGGTTTTAGCTTAAGTGCTTTATCGAAGGTTACAATTTGATAATTGTATTTTGTTTAATTACACTGTCCACCGAGGGCGATTGTAGTTCTTTACGGGAGTTTGCATACCAAATGTACCTTTGCACATGTATACACTTATCCAATCGGTAAGGATTTGCAATCGCTCTCGATGGTCTCAGTAATTGGACAAATCGTAATTACTCGAATGAAACATCCAAACTAAAGCGTTACAATTGATGTAGAATGTATTAAGATAAAATCTGAATAGATTCTTCACCCAAATCAGCAAAGGGATTATTTTGACCATTTCTCTATTAACTGGCAACGGCTTGAGTTTTTAAAAGACTTTTTTCCATTTGACGATGCTTTTGAAAGAGATTGAGATCGCTGGCAATGGTGCGCGAGAGCCCGAACTACCTGTATAGTTTTTTGGTTGGAAATTGTTGAAAACTCTAAATATAAGTTGTAAATAGTCATCCGTACAGCATTAACCACTTGAAAGCTTTAGCTTGATTTAAGTATGTGTGCAGAATAACTTTTCCTGTGCTTTTTCGCATCCAATTGTAATTTGGAGAATATTTTTGTAGAGAAAATATTGGAAAAGTGGCGTAAATCCCACCGTTTCGATCGCACCCTTCTCTCATTATTTGCACTAGGTAGAGAGCAACTACTCTATTGTCCAGTGTCCGGTTTAATGTGTTTCATCCATACATATTAGCCAGCCTAAAGCTTCATGAACCCTATCATTTTTTTTTTTATTGAAAGAAGAATTGAGAAAGCTTCCAACTAAGGCCAGTCGAACATGCTGTCCGTAAGAAAGATACCAAGAGATTTAATTTAAGAGGAAGGGTGAAGGTAATGTTTCCTCTTAGATATAACCAGGAGTGTAGTTTAGTGAAACTACTTGATACAGCACCAAGTTTGTAACACCTTGCAAAACCATGCTTAGAAAATAAAGTGTTATTGTATGGTTAGCAGGTGAAGGTACTAGAGATATCGTCGAGGATACATCAATGATTGATTTTGGAAGCTGATAAGATGTTTCARRWWTTTRCSRTMMTWKKWTTMGYAYG